CCGCCTCAAAATGGGCCCTGCGAGTGGGTGTGGCGGGTTTGGCACGAGGAGGGTCGACACCAATATCAATCCAACGAGTGACGCCGTGCTGCCCGGTGCGTGTGCGCTAGTCGTGCGTGCAAGATGGCGGTGGTGGTGGGGCTGGGGTGTTGGAACGCACCCGGGTCTGCACGCGTGCTGGGACAATGCGAAAGAGCTGCGGCTGCTCTTCAAGGTGTCTGCAGCAGCATCGGGCGGGGCTTCGCGGCCGCGGAAGCTCAAGGACCGCGGCTGCTCACACTGTGTCTGCGTGCGTGAAGGGGCTGGTCATGACAAACCACAGCAGCGGCCGGCCCCGGCCGCCGTTGGCCTGCGCCGCCAGCCGCTGCAGCGCGAGCAGGCGCTCGGCCTGCAGCTGGAAGAGGCTCTTGTGGGAGGGCAGGCCAATGTCATAGCAGCCCTGCGCGCGCGGATGAGGCGCGGAGTTCTAATTATCACGGCGGCAGGTGGATCGCGGGTTCAGGGGAGCACGAACGCGCGCCCCTTTATGTCTGAGGGTGCGGGCAAGGAGGGGCGGGCGAGCCGTGCCAGACGCTGACCGGCTGCTCTGCTGCCGCCCCTGGGGCAGCGGGCGGCGACGGCCAGGAGAGCGCATGACCTGGTGCGCCGCGCTTATCATGTCCAACAAAGGTGGGGCGGATGCTAAACCAGTGGGTCGGTGCCTGTGTGGCGTCTGGCCCCGCACCTTTGGCAGCTTGCTGCCCAGCCGCGTGCCCTGGCCGCCCGCCAGCAGCAACACAGCCAACTTGCCCTGCAAGCGGAGGGGTTGCAAAAAGCAAGGAGGCAGGGGGTGGCAATGCCGGCTTGCATGAGAGGGGAAGTGGGGGCCGACGGTTCTGGTGGGGGTTTTCGGCCCCGCGCCGCTTCGATTGTGATGGGCGCAAGGATCTGCCCCTGCTTAAGTTGATGGCACGCCCCATCAGCCACAGCGGCGCTGCAGCGGCGCGCCGGCCCAGCCAGCACCGCGACGCGACAATGGCGACCACCATGGGGCGCGCCCGCGGGGGGCTGGGCATGAGGAGCGCATGCGTTTGTATAAGTGACCCGGGGGGCCCCTGCACCTCTGCAACAAGCTTGAGGCCCCGCGCCCTCCACTCGGCGCGCCGCTCCGCCGTCGGCGCCCCCACGCCACGCAGCTGAACGACGCCCTGCGGCGGCGCCGCGCCGGCGCCGGCCGACGCCGCGGCGGCGAGGCTGGCGGAAAGGGCGCTCCTCACAAACCCAAAGTCGAGGGCCTAGGAGAAGGGTCGATCGAGGTCCGTTTGCGGATCGCGCGTTGGCCGCGTGCGGATCATCTGTTGTGACTTTGATCCAGGCCGCGGCTTCGCGGCAGCGCGGCGTGGCGAGGTGCCGTCGAAGGTTCGCGGCGCCCGAGGCGGCGCCAGCACGCCCGGGGCAGCGCAGGCCCTGCGCCCCGTCGTCGCCGCACCCCGACGCCCCGGCGCACGCTGCCTGGGTTGCTCGCGCGGCGGCCGCCTTGCGTGGGCGCGGCAGCGGGGTGTCTCCATGGGTGTGCATGCGGATCGGGGGCAGCTGTATGCTCTCACCTCGACCTCCGAGGCGAGTGCGGCGCGCTCCGCCTCGGACAGCGCCGCCCAGTCCTCCAAAATGTGCGCCTGCCCCGCCGCTGCGCAGCTCGCCTCCAGTGCCGCCGGCGGGGCCGATGATGCGGCGGGGGCCGAGGCTGGTGTTGCTGAGGGAGAGAGGGGCATGGGTTTTGGCGGGCGGGTGGCGGGGGCAGGGGCGGATGAGCTGCGGCGAGCGTGCAGCAGCGGCACATGAGATTCCATTGCTCGTGCTATGACGCAGGTGCGCACGACCAAGATCAAATATTCACCTGTCATGGTTTAGAGGCGCAGATATGCAGCTGAGAAGAGGCCGAGCCTGCGTAGATCTGCGCTCAAAAGAACGCACTGGCAGTGAGGTAGGAAAAATCCTGCGGGCGCTAGAAAAAGAAAGGTTATATGACGGTCAGTTCAATCGTTTGTGCTATCAACATGCCTTCTCAAGTTCTTTGTGCGTGGTCCCTTCGAAAGTGCGCAGTGCAGGCCGTGAATTCACGCTGATGCGCTTTCTGCGCAGCACCTGCCTGTGGAGATCCTTACTGCAGCTCCGCTGCCTCATAATGCACACCGTTTTATGACCACCATCTTTTATCGAGTTCTGTGATCGTTGTTACAGCTTATTTCCAGCCACAGGGCACCAGGCAGCATTCCCCACGGACTGGCTGGAGAGCTGCATGTGACCCTCCAACTCCCTGCCCTTTGCCCTGTGCCCCGCTGCATTTGATTGCCTCATACATCTGTGCGCTGGCTCTGCATGATGGCACAATATATTGGGTTGGTTGGTGAATACTAGGTGCTTAGCCAGTCTGCGCAGCCTGTTGGGGTGGTCTGGCACCTGTGACATCGCTGCATTGCTACAGATGTTGCGTGCACAGATCGAACAGAGAGCGCACGCCAGATAAAAGCCAGGCGCTTGGATGCCACTGCTAAACCCAAACAAGGCGGCGGGAGGAAAGGCAGCTGGGGCCTTCCATTGACATCAAGTCCTGGATACCTACGAAGACAGGTTTGGAAACACGGCGCCCTTGATGCTGAGCAGGTCAGGCTGAGCGGCAGCCTATCCGCCAGAGGTAACATGAATGTCTGGGCACACGAGACAGCGTACAAGTTGTTGCTAGGTGTTCAAGCGCACGCACTCCGCAGGCCGGCGCAACTTGTACGTCTAATGCACTGCGGTCAAGGGCTTGCCACGAACCTTGTCCTTGAAGTCCATCTGTGTTACATACACAAAATCACCTTGATGCACATGCACTTGGGCATTGTCGTGCTGTGAAGGGCAGAAGGGGATGAACCGCCCAATCACACCCAGCAGCATTGTGCGGGTACCTACGGTACCGTATCACTGTGTTATTAGAGGCAGTGACGAAGACATAATGCCACCAAGGGGGATAATCACAAAAGCATGAGGCTTCATCGGAGAAGTGCCGTGTGGCGACTCCGGAGCGCGGCAGGTACACTTCAGAAACCCGTTGTACACCCCGCGGGCATAGAGCCGTGCGTTGTATCACACATGCATTAAAATCAAGTGATATTCTAGTAATCCTCACGGATGCGCTACATCTGTCATCCAGGCACGAGCAACGCACATCCAAAATGAAAGCCCGTGCTCGACCAGCGGCCTTGCTGATTATAGTAGTGATCACACTAGGATGCATCCAACCCAGCTGCGCCAGCCACGGTTGGCTTCGCAAGCTCCAAGAGGTGTGCGTGCACAACTTGCTGCTGCTGCGGCGGCGCCTGCACCAGCTCCGTCGCATTGGTCCAAGCCTGTCTTGTTGCGTCTGCAGCTGCTGCAGAGGCAGTAAGTATGACCAGTGACTTTGCCAACTTGCATGCGCACTGTTTATTTTGCCATGCAGGACGCCGCAGCCACAGACACCTGGGCCAGCCTTTTTGCTGAGGACACATCTGAGACCAAGCAACCCCCGAAAGGCCCCTACTCGTACATGCTCAGCGCGGCCCAGCGTGCCAGGGGGCTGACATATGTTGGAAGCGCAGAAAGGCTGCGGCTGGCGCTTGACCGCGCGCTCAAGAGTGAGTCAAGGGCCGCGTGATGCGGGTGGTGGTTGCGGCGTGCTGCGTCCCGCGGCGCGCCAGGCGGCACTGAAAGCAGCGAAAGCGGCAGCTTCAGAGGAGGCCAGTGCAAGGGCGGTGATAACTGTCATGCATAAGCAACTTGCACCTTACGCCAGCTTGACAATGACAGCGGGCCAGACACGACAAGCTGCTGCTGGCGCCCCTTTATCATTGGCCCCGCCCGGCGTCCCCGCGCGACTCGCAGCCAAGCGGCTGACGGTGGCAGCCGTGGGCGCGAGCATCACCGCGGGCGCGGGCGCGTTTGATGACGTACGGGACGCCTGGGTCGACCGCCTCCAAACGTGGCTGTATGACACTTATGGAGCGAAGCACGGCGTCAACGTGACCGTCAATAACGGCGCGGTGCCAGGTGGGGCTGCGTGATTGCCGTTCGGCCTTGGCGTCAACTGAGGTAAAGTTGGAGGTTTTCATTTAGTTACCAGCCAAGATCTGCAGAGGTGCATTTGGGCAGCATGCTAGTACTTAAGCATCAATAGCAGCACAGCTGCTCTGCTGGAAAAAGCGGCTGCAACCCCTGCAACTTGACTGCTGATGCTCAGGCGCGATCACCGGCATCGACGCAAACGCCCCGCCCGCCCGCCCGCCCCGCGCGTCGCGGCGCGGCGCGTCCGCGCAGGCACCACCAGCATGTACATGTGCGCGTGCTTCAGGCGCCACGTCCCGCAGGATGCTGACGTCATCTTCCTCGAGTACGCGGTCAATGACGAGCACCGCAAGGAGCCGCTCTTCCACAACAGCGCGAGGTGCGCGCAGCGCTGCATGGGGCCTCAGCCCCGCGGCGTGGTGCGGGGCGGCACCAACCCATGCGCGTGATGACATGGCCTTTCCGGAGGCCTCGAGCTCGGACCTCATGCACACGTTTCAAAGCAAGCCCCCTTGGGCTGATTGCACGACCTCGTGCCACGTGATTTTGGGCCGCAGGAAGTCGTTCGAGCGCCTGATCCGGAAGCTCCTGCAGATGCCCAGCCGCCCCGCCGTCGTGCTGCTCAACACTTACGCCTGGTTCAACACGGACCCGTACGAGGCGAGCGCCCACCCTGCGCCTTGCAGCCGCGCTCGCTGCCTTTGCCTGCCTTCCACCGTGTGAGCGGCAGTTGAATTCTGGCCTCCTTCGCTGTGCGCGGCATGCCCGCAATCACAGGGCCTGCTTACGCTGCCCACACACCCGGCCTCACATCTACCAATTATTCAACAAATGTGGATTTCTAATAACCATACGCAGGGAATCTTCTGGTCCAGCGCAGAGCGCGAGTTTCAGGAGTTTGCTTGGTACTACTCACTGCCGACGGTCAGCGTCAAGGCGGCCTGCTACCACGACATGGTGGCCGCGAAGCACGGCTTCTCGGTGCACGCGCCGCGCGAGCGCGACCAGCAGGTGTGCTTCCTGGCAACGGCCATGTGCTTCCTGGCGTTGGCCGCGACAATTGGCAGTGTGCCGGGGTCGTTTCGGCGGTTAGGTCGCACGCCAGCTGTGTATAGTGAGTTTGAGATGGGTTTGTGCACTGCAGTGGTGTGTGACCGTGCATTATTGTCCTTGATTTTAGTTTGACGCATCAATTTCCTCTGGCATTACAGGGGCTGAGGCACAGGGCGTTCTACTATGACTACGTGCACCCTGATGGCAACACCGGGCACAGGTGCAGCAAAGGGGGGTGGTGCAGGGTAGTAAACAAATGATGTGGCGAACATAATGTGGAGGTTTAGTGAGCGCATACAACCAAAGCCACTTAGCAGATGCGGCACGCGCGCATGTGCGTGTGTGTGTCTGAGCACATGCGCGCGCGCGCACCTGTGCATTAGTGTACGTGCGCGCGTGCAAGAATGTGTATATGTTTAGTGACATCTCGCAACACCAAGACAAACCAGACTTGAATGTCTCCCATTGAAGAGGGGGGCAATACAGGCAATCCATGTGCCACCCGTTTTCTCCAGCCGACGATGGCAAACAGAGCGTTTTCTGGACCACGTTGTCTGCTGTGCCGCAGGGTCATGGCCGAGCTGGCGATGCACCTGATCTCCACTGTTGCTAAAGACCTCGAATCCAACCCGATAAGCGCGAACGACAGCACCGACGCGTCTGCGCCGCTGCCGCGCCCTATGATCCGGGACAACCACGCGTCGCTGCACGACACGTGCTTTGTGGGGCCGACGTTCAAGGATGACGCCGTGGCCGAGCATGACGGGTGGGAGTGGATCAACGAGGCCAAGAGCCAGCGCCCAAAGTGGGGCTACGTGGCTAAGGAGGTGGGTCTTCGAAGAGGAGTGTGTGGGTTGTTTCTGGGCCAGCAGTTGTGGCACTGAGGGGGACAGCAGTTCTGGGCGGCGCACGAGCTGGAACAAGGATGTCGAGCAAACATTCCCACCTGGCTTGCTTTGCCGTGCCGTGCCAAGTAGGGGCCGCGCCCATGCATGGGTTTTGCTGACACTGTGACCTTTGCAACATCGGCCCCCTGCTTCTGACGCTTTCGCATCTAAAGAAGGGTGGCGCAGTGAGTGCAGCGCCGCGCGCCCTCCATCCCCATTACAATGCACACACGCACGCATGCGCACAAGTACACACACACATACACACACAAACACACACACACACACACACACACAAACATACACACTTGCCTATGCACACACATCAACACTCACACACACACACACACACACACACACACTCACATCCACGTACCATGCAGCCCGGCAAGGTCCTACATCTGAAGCTCAATACGTCTGTCAGCGCATCCACCCCCGACAAGCCGGTGCTGGTGCAGCTGGCGCACCTGCGCAGTTATGAGCACATGGGCTGGGCGGAGGTTACGTGAGTTTGATCTCACTCTCAGTGGGGTTGGTTGACAGCTGGGTACATGTTTCAATTAATCCCTACATCAATTGCTCACTCATGCGATTGTGTCCAACACCTGCGTCCACTGCGGGGCGTTGCCATGTGGTGCCAAGACTGCCCCACCTGTGCTTGTAAACTTCTTGAGGCATAGCAATGTCTGCCCACCGCATGGATCCTCGTCACCATGGCTCCATTCCTGGCGCCTGACACAGTGTTGATGGCCCACCCCGCAGTTGCACATCGGGCTGCGAGTGCCCCCCGACGCGATTCAACGGCCACACGAGCGACCGCAAGTCCCTGCTGACGCTGCACAAGCTGTTTGTGACTCAGCATGACAAGTGTGTGTTGGGAGTAGAGGTGCTGACTGAGAGCGACAGTGGGGAGCACAAGGTGAGGGCTGCATGCAGGCATGCGGGCGCGTGCATCGAGGTTTGTGTGTGTGTTGTGTGTGTGTGTATGTGTGTTGTGTGTGTGTGTTGTGTGTGTGTGTGTGTGTGTGTGTGTGTGTGTGTGTGCGTACGTGCGCGTGTGTGTGCACGTGTGTGCACACGTGTGCCTGCGTGCCTGCGTGCCTGCGTGCCTGCGTGCCTGCGTGCCTGCGTGCAGGTGTGGGCTCGTGCGCGTGCTTGCATGCATGCGTGTGTGTTTGCGCATGCATGTGTAGCACGCGCGCATCAGTTGCGCTGGGGGGATGAGAGAGGACAGACCTGAAAAAGCTTGGCGATTACAGCACGTGGGCATTTACACACCCCCCTCTCAAGCTTCCTGCCCCACCAGACCACGCGCGACGAGTCAATGCCTATTGGGCTTTATCTCTCGCCCGTGCCGACGCGCCTGTCCGCCCATCCCCTGCGGGCGCAGGTGAAGCTTGCTGGCGTGATCGTCAGCGACCAGGCTGGGGAGCAGCAGGGGCTGGACAACGCGGGCGCGGTCGAGCACGTCCACGACATCAGCTTCAGGCACCGCGGCTTTGGGCGGGACAACGTCTTTGATGTCCGGAACCACGTCTGATCTGGCGGTTTTGACGGAGGGACGCAAGCAAGCAGATTGGCCCCTCACCGCGGGTCCGCGGCTGCGCTGCGACGCCGCGGCCGCAGCAGGGCTTGCGGGAGCGCCACGCCGCAGGCCTGTTGCAACACGCCCGCGCTCTTCCCAGGCCCTGGTTATTGGGAGGGCTCGCGGCACAGCCGAGCCTGCACTAACAAACGAGATGGTTCACCTGGGCTGCACTGATGTGTGCAATTCATGCCAGGTGGCTGTGTTTTACGTCAACTTTGATGCTGTGTTGTGTTTGGAAAGGTCATGGACGTGGGGCATTGCCAAGAATAACTTCTGTGGTGACCAGGTGTCTATCTGCTTCACTGGCTGCTATGGTAAGATGTTTGCAGAGGTGTATAGTGCTGGCGTGCTTGCTGCTGTGTGGGCTGTCGTCCGGGCTACAAACAGACCCATGCCCCATGCTCCCCAGCAGCAGGGATCCGTTGTGTACGGCCGGCACGAGCAAGGTCCAGCCAATGTTCTGCAGATTAAGCTCCTGATGCACGTCTCTCCTGCAAGTTTACCCTGTTTATGGGAATATGCCCCGACACGCCACCACCACTTGTGTGTGTGTATGCTCGCACCTCCGCGCGCGCGTGTGCATGCGTGATGTCAATGCCCAAACCGACCAGTTGCGAACTGTTATGCAAAAGGAAATGCAGCGCAAGGTGTTCTATACACAAGCACAGTCAGTGACAAGAAGCGAGTACTGAATCGCCCAAAAGGGACCGCGGCACCCTTCTACCTCCCACGCGCAGGGTGCGTGCAGCATTCGCCGCAGGCAGGCCGACGCGACATGAGGTTGTCAGGGTGGTGTTAGGGCCTAGGCCGATGCGTCGCCGCCGTAAGGCGAAAAGGGGCGTAATGAGTGATTTGCCAAACAAAACTGCTTATCGACAGTTTTACAGGCCTGTGCACAACTTTGTTTGAGGTCCTGCTGCTGTCCGAATCCCCAACCCAGATGACAACTCTCTGCTCTACCTACCACAACTCCCGCGCCGCCCAAAAACATGATTGGTTCCACCTCCTCCAAATCACAACCCACGGCCCGCCCCACAGCCGTGGGCCCAGCCGAGCGACGTGCCCGCCCCTCGGCGCGGCGGCGCTGTCGCACGGAGAGCGAGCGCAGAAGGGAAAACTCCCCCCCTCGCACGTACGCCGTCATGTACGCTCCTGCCGGGCAAAGGCGGCTGGAATAATTCAGGTCAGGGAAAGAAGAAAGGAAGATGGAGGCTGTGGGAGCCGTGCAATTGATACCTAGGACTGTGAAGCGCGCGCCCCTAAGACTAAGCGCAGGCCCAACCTTGGAGCAAGGTTTTGCGCATCCGTGATAAAGCCTGCTGTAAGAACTACGGCACGCCTGCTGGCTTTCTGGAAAAGCAGCAGAAAGTGGGGGTTGCTCTCAGCGGCGCGCCCCACACAGATGGGGCCGCGACGGCGAGTGGAGACCTGTGACGCAGCCACAGCCGCGGACCGCGACGCAGCGATTGGATGGGTGTGCGAGCGGCCCGGCACGAGGCCCGGTCAAACTTTTGGTGCACACCCCGCTTTGCCTGCAGCTGCTGCGGAACGGCGCACATAAAGGCGCACCGACATGGGCGCGGCGGATCGCAGGGGCGCGAGCTGGCGAGTTCGTGAGGTGAGTGTGCATGCTTCCATGCCGTAGCAGGAGGGCGCGCGGGCTCCCCCGCCTGCGCTGGCCACCGCCCAGCCGGGCTGGCCAGAGAGGCGATGGCGGTAAGCAAGACAGTGGTACGCGGGAGTGCAGGGGAGTGCAGGGGCCGAGTTTGTGAAGTGGTGGTGCTTCTTCAAGGCCCAAAACGAGGGCACGCCCGACGTTCTCGCATGTGGTGGCCGCCCAGGTGCCTGGGTCGGCCGCGGCGATTGTGAGCTTCAGCAAAGCCCGGCGGCGGGACCAGCAGGCCTCACTGCGAGTGCGACACGATACCAGCCTGACGGCGCAGCGCCAGACCGCGGCAGACAGCTGGGCGAGCAGCCGGGGGGTTTCCTGTCGTCGACGGGTGAGGCGGCGCTGCTCTACGGAGGCGCGCTGCTGCTGCTGCTGCTGCTGCTGCTGCTGCTGCTGCTGTTGCTGCTGCTGCTGCTGCCGATGCTGTTGCTGCTGTTGCTGCTGCTGCTGCTGCTGCTATTACTGCTGCTGCTGCTGCTGCTGCTGCTGCGGCGGCGGCACGCGCCTCCAAGGTGCAGGGGGGCCGCGGCGTCGCGGCGCCTCACCACAGGCGCTTGATTGTCACCAGCGCCGCGCTGCCCGGGCTCATGTAAATCTTCCACGCGAGCTTGCCGTCGCTAGCGCTCCGCGCCACCGTCTCGATTGCGGGCGTCCCCTGCAGCTTCCCGCCCAGGCCGTACGTGATCCCGCCGATCGAAACGCCCCCCTTGGCCTGCAGCGGCGCGTCGCCCGCCGCGACGAGCCGGGCGACCGAGGCGGCGCCGTAGCCGCCCGGCTTGGCGATCCGCAATACGGCGTCAATCGCCTCGTTGGCCCGCTTGTTGATGACGACGATGCGGAGCTCTTTTTCCGCCTCATCCCACAGCGGCCACACCTTCAGGCCCTCGCCCGGCCCCGACGCGACGGCGGCGGGCAGCATGCGGCTGCGGGCACGGACGGCCTGCTTGAAGAGCATGATCGCGTAGAACGCAGGCCGGAGGATGACGGGGCCGAGCCCCTCGTCTTGGTACCAGCGGACGATGGCGGTGTACAGGTTCTGCCCAGCGCCCTAGAGTTTTGGATATAGGGTTTGGGCAGCGCGTTTGGGGGCATCTCCATGGCCACAGTGCGCGGCTGGTGGGCATGGAAGGGTGCAGGGCTGCGGAATTGATCAAGCCCCACCTACTGCACACTGGCAGTGGGACCGCCCTTGCTGCAGCGACAGCCCTTGCCACCTCTCCTTCCCCAATTCAACCTCAGCCGCTGTGCTTTGACCCCACCCCATACAGCCCTCGCCCTGACCGACCTCAACTTATCCGGATGCATGCACACATGAAACCACGCGGGCATGGGCCCATAATCGTTGCCACGCGCGCACCCACCTGGTGCAGATTCACACCGACCGCCCCCGTGGCAGCCACCTCGAAGCAGCCGTCCAGCGTCCACAGCGCCGCGGCGAAGACGTTGCTGACGCCGTCGCGGCCGCTGTTGCTGATCGTGTTCATCTCTGCGACGCGCAGCGGCTTGCCCCACTTGTTGCTGATCTGCGAAAAGAATGTGCGCCATCAGGGGAGGTTTGAGGTGGGGTTTTGGCTATTGAGCCGTAGAGGTCAAGGCCAAAACGGTATGATGTGCCTGGCGGGGACATGCAGAACGCGGCACTATGTGGACCCTGGTGACAGCTGGCCCCTCCGCTAGCTTGATCATGCACGCTGCAGCCTAACACACGCGTTCTGCCCTTCACGCCCCCACAGATGTTTCCTCTTCCCAAACCAAGCAAAACCCGTGTGCTTCGCTGTCCTCAGGTCAACTTCAAAGCACCCCCGTCGATCCATGACCGTCTTTGGGACGCCCCTGAAAGCAAGCCAAAGGGTTTGAGCCTCGGCCGGCGCACCTTGACCAGCTCCCTCAGGTTTGCCATCTCTTTCTTGATTGGCTCTTCGTCCAGCAGGGTGGACGCCGTGTTGTAGGTCTCCCTGGTTGCCTTGTACCAGTGGACTGTGGTCAGGTTGAGCCACTTTTGCCCGGCGGACCTGGGCAGGTGGGTTGAAGAGAGGACGTCGCGCACAGTTGCGTGCCAGGGCACGACTCGTGGCTGGTGAGTGAGCGGATACAGGACAGCAACCGCGCAGGCAGAGGCAAGCATTGTTGGGTGTGCAGCATGCTCAAGATATTGCTGAGAACGAAGGCTGTCTGTTTCTACGTCCATTGCACCACGTCTCTGCTCCCACAATTCACATGGGCAACCCTGCCGTGCCACAAAGCGCGTCACCCCGTACCCCAGAAACAAGCACAGCTGAGCCCCTTGAAAATGGCAGGCCCCAAGCACCACAATAAGCAGCAGCAGCAGCAGCAGCAGCTGCCCGCCCCTCACTTCAGGAACCAATCCAAGGTGGACGGGTACATGTTGACGTGGCCCCACGCCGGCCCAGCAAACTGGTTGCGCCGGCAGGCTGGGTCATTGGGGTTTTTATGGTCGGGGCAAGACATGTAGATTGCGTGAGTATTCCAATCGTTGACGAAGCAGCAGCCGATGTAGTCGTTGCCGCTCTTCCCGTTCTTGTTGGTATAGAAGTTGGGCTGGGGTCGGTGGGGCGTGGCGGGTGTTGGAGGGTGTCGAGAGCGGCCAAATGTGAGATGAAAGTTCAAGGGTGCCGTGTGCAAAACGAGGGGACCCGGGTTTTCCAAAGGGCAATCCAGACTAGAGAAATGGTTTCCAAATTCACAAGGGGGAGCGTCCAAGCCGACGAAAAAACCAGATGTGAGTGTACGTTGACGATGCGGTGTGTAGACAATCAAGGTGGGGAGGGTGGCAGGCCCGCATGTGGGGGTCAATGGCGCCCGGTAGAGGCCAACAGCCGTTCAGCCCGCCGTCATCAGCGAGTGCCACCCGCGCTGCTGGTGCCGTCCCTCCCACCTGCCCCCCC